CTGATATTAGCTTTGAGACTTCTTAAGTTGACGTGATTGAAGATGTTACCAGTTGGATGATGTATGTGATTTATTAATACTTTTTTTTGTTGCTAATTGCTATGTTGGTGTTTCTTTTTGTTAATTCAATTTTCAAACTTCGCAGATACAATCATTTAGTTTGTCAGATTAAGCACAAACTTCCATTAGTAATCAAAAAATGAGTACTAAAAACCAGAAAGCTCGTTACTTGTTTGTCAGATTCGAAGTCTGAGCTTCTTGTTCTTCTTCCTTTTCTACTAGTTTGTTAGATTTGGATTCCGAGCTCTTTCTTCCTCTCATCTTCTACTTGTTTTTCTAGGACTCCGAGCCTCCCTTCCCCTCCTCCTCCTTTTCTTCCTCATTATCATACTCACCTTATTGGGAAAATATGCAAAAATAACATAACATTTGGTTCAAGTTGAGTCCTAAAGGACACTGTTCTTAAGATGTATTTCGTAACCCCTTAGTAGTTTAGGAAGCAATACTCATCAGGATTAAACGAACCCTTCCTATATTACTACAGGATGACAGAACAACCAAAGATAAAGAACTCAACAAGAGACAATGTTTCTTCTATCAGAAAAGTGCACTTGAATACTTCAAGAGTAGTTGCCTGTTTTTTTTTGACAATCACCCCCTTTTTTTATAGATCACGATGCGATACGAGACACATCTTAAATAAGACATCTGTCCGCAAAAAAGAAGAGGCATGTTAAAGGGATTTCTTTTTTTGACACACCCACACACAATATTTACAACATACCTTGCTCTTCCAACCGAAGACGGAATAAATGGAAGAAATCATGAATTAAATAGTCCTTCGCTCGGATGTTTGACTCCCTTTACTATTTCATTGTCAACCCCGCCGCTTTATTTCACTGCACATGCTGACGAAAACAAACCTGAGACACTTTCAATCCGCGAGGCCGAGGGAGTGATAATGGCGGCAAGTGGGGTGTGCTCCCCAAATGAGAAGAATATTCCACTGTTGAAGAGTTTAATTAAATTAACTTTTCTTAATTAAGTGTCAATTAAATACGGAGACTAATATTGTCTTTAAATTTGATTGTGGACATTGTCTTAATTAAATTATATTTGCTTCTGCTTAACTATGCACTTGCATTGTTACCTTATTATCCAAGAATCTGTTCCATTTTTCTTTAATAATCGTTTTCTTCTTTGGAATTCCGGGCCAAGAAAAACCAAAAAAAAAAAAGGAGACTTCTTTGTTGGTTGAAACCTCCAAGGCAAAAAAAAAAAGAAAGAATGAATATATGTGTTTTCCTTTGCTTTTATGTTTCGTTTCTATTATTTTATTGCTTTACAGTTTTATTGAGCTCTTTAATGGTGACTTGGTAACTTCTGCACTAAGAATTATTATATAAATTATATATATTGCATTCTAAAAATTGTAAAATCAGTAGAACTCTTTTCTTTGAGTTGTTTGGCTACTACTATGTTTTTTATTTTTCTCTTCATCAATTCTTAGATCATTTTTTAATAATAATAGTTTTGCATGGTCAAAAGCCAAAAGTCTTATTTTCCTTCTATTTAATTCCTATTGAAATTTGTATGCCATTCAGTATTCTCTTTATTGCTATTAAAATGATCCAAAACAACTGGTAAATGTACATTATGATTTTTCTATAGTTTTATTTTTAATCTTTTAGCCTTTTGATATTTATATTATAATTGAAATATTTTTAATCATAAATAATCGCAAGTTTCTGAGAAAAGAGACCTGCCATATGCAAATTCTTTGCCCATTATTAAAAAACACCATTAAAAAACATATGTACGTTCCTTATTATTATTATGTGAATGAATTAATTGGTGATCACTTTAATTTCATAATCATTATATTTTTTTATTAATATTATTTCTCTCATAACTAAAGCTTTCACATATTTCAGATTGACAGGATTTGCATTCTTGCTTGAGAATCTATTTTATTTTCTCTTGGTTTGACACTGAAATCTGAAAGAAAAGGTAAGGATATATTTTTATTTGATTTAGTTTCTTTAATTTCTATTATTTTTATGTTGTGTTAATGTTTTTATTACTATCTTCCTTACACATACATGTAAATATAATATTCTGAAACTTGTTAAATTGTGGGTGCATAACTCTGTTCTTATTTTGGTGTTCATCAATTGCTTTCTTCTGCTAAAAGAAAACAGAAAAGGTTAAAAAAAAAAACAATGATGAGGATGTATTATCATCTTAATTTTATTCGCATGTTAATATATGTGTAACACACATAATCCATGGTAAGCTATAACGCTAATTTTTTTTAATTTTATAGCGTTTTCAAAATACTATATATGCATTTGTTACAGAAAGCATGAATACCAAGCAGTAAAGCTACAGCATGTATATTTTTTAATAAAATTAACATGGTGTAGTGCTTCCTCAAGATAGTGTTACAAAACATGCTGTGTTTTTTAAAAAATTATATACAGTATATTAATATTATGCTCTTGTCAATTCTTTAAGTATAGCCAAAATATAGGGGGGAAAAAAATAAATGAAACAGCGTACATAGGTAGTAATAAGAGAAATAAAGAAAAAAACATAAATATAAAATTGCAGATACAAACATGCTATGCCTGAATTATACTCCTCCGGTCCTAAATATAAGACCCATTTTGCAGTGTAAATTACACTACAAAATGGGTCTTATATTGAGGACCGGAAGGAGTATATATGTATGCATAATGTAGGCAAACTTCAAAAGATCTACAACAAGAAAAACAACAAAACAACAAGAAATCATATTATATCTAAAAGTTAAGAGTGAAAAAAAAAAGTTATATACTGAGCCTCACAAATACAAAAGAGGCAAAGCCAGAGATCTTACCTGCTATGTTGGAGATCTCAAAAATGAAAAAAGCAAAGCAGGGTTTCAGATCTATTCCTTGCTTACTCCTCATGATCGAGCATAGTTAGAAAAGATAATGGTTGATTTTGCATGGAATGGAGAAGTGACAAAAAGAAGAAAAGAGAGATGAGAAAGGAGGCGGAAGGCTATGGGAAGAGTGAAAGGAAGTATGAAATATAAATAGAGACATATAGGGCTTTTGTGGGAGTGGAGTGTGGGGTTTTGGAAAAAGAAAATTAAAAAAAATATTTGTTGTAGTGCTTTCTTGAAAAAGTGCTACAGAAGTGTGTGTATATATATATATTTAAAAATTATACCATGACAAATACTCCCTCCGTTCTTTTCTATAAGAGACAATTAGGTTGCTCAAAATGTTAGTTAAAATTAGTTGACAACAATAAATGTGTAAAAAGTGTAATCTTGTTGCCAAAAATACCTTCATTTATATAGAAGAGAGATAATGTGTGGGAGATAGAATGTGTAGAAAGAAAATACAATAATATGAGTAATATGAATAATTAAACAAGGATAAAATAGAAAATTAACAAAAAAAATTTGGGACAACTTTTAATTATCTCTTATAAATAAGGACGGAGATAGTATTATACATGCTGTGGTTCTTTCTCAATGTTTAACATTTTTTAAAAGATAAAAAATATATAGAAATTATAACGTTTTGTAAAAGAAATGCTGCAAAAGATCGTGATTCTTTTGTAGCACTTCTTTAAAGGATCACTATAATTATTTAATATTTTTAAAAATATAAAAATATATATAAGAGCTACAGTATTCAAGTAAATAAATGCCATAAAATGTGAGCTATTTATCTAACTTTTTGTTGTAATGAATGATATTAAGCCAATTCAATAAAGTTTTAAAAAAAAAACTTGTTTGAAAATTCACCGTCAAAATGGACAAAAATTGTCACTAAAAATAATTAATTAAAGGCTGTCACGGCAAAAGATATACATGGATATTTCAAATTAGCAATAAAATATGCACATTTTATAAGAATGAAATTATGAAATTTCTAATTACATAATACTTAATGGTGATGAAAATTACAAAATACTTCAAGTTGGTACAGGGGTGCATGATAATCTTCACTATTCATATTATATTTTAAACTATTTTTTTTGTTTGTGACAAATTAACTAAATGTAAAATCTTTATTGTATGACCAAGTTAACAATCAGTTTATGTGATCTAAAAAGTGAAAGACTTGGTTAAACTGTCTTCATGATGATTTACTTTCTTCTTCTTCATCTTCTTTTTTATTGGCCAGCCTTCCTAGTGGTTAAAGAAGTCGCTCATTATCACTTTAAATCTTACGTATTTTTTATTTTGTATTAATTTCTTTGCCGTTAAAGTTATCAACTGTATAGTTTTGTTCCACAGGAATTGTGTTGTGATATTCTTGTCTAAGAATCTCTTTTAGTTTCTCGTTATTATTTGGTGGCAAAAAATGTTTCTCTTTATTATTCTCTCTAGTCTACTTTGATTTTGAAATAGCCATGTTATTTTCTTGTTTGGGCTATCAAACTGTTCAGCTTCTTTTTAATATAGTGTTTGCCCCTAATTTAATAATTCGGAACTAATTAGATTAAACATGGTATTGTGAATTATGTTAAGTAGGCCGGACTTGTTTTTAGTGCTTATCTTGTTTTTGGTGGATTTTTCGTTCATCAGTTACTTTAGTCTTCACAAAAGAGGAGGAGTCTTGCATCATCGAATATTGTTCATACATCTGAAAAGAGGTCAGTATATAGTTTCTCATCATCATTCTGCCTTAACTAACAAGGCTCCGAAAGGCTTTGTTATTTGTTAAACGCTGGTGAATGAACTACTTTGCTCATAAACGTGCATCCTGGCATTAAAAAAAAAAAAGTTTGCATAAATTGCTGTTAAGGACAGTAAATTTTAGAAATTTTAGTTGATTTTAAAATTGATGCGTAAATATCCGTTTCCTAATTTAAGTTATTGGAGCATCATCTTTCTGATTTACTTATTAGGGGTTCACTGATTTGGCATTTGAAATCCCAGTTAGTACATGATAGTCATAGACATACTATAACTAGCTTTTACCTATGCAATTTAGATGGAGAACTGCTTGCTTGACCTCGCAAAGAACGAAGTCCAAAGTTTGGTGAGTCTCATAAAAAATGAAGCTCAATATTTATGTTGTTTCAGTAGTTATGTTGAAAAATTTGATCAAAGAAAGGAACAACTAGCTGCAAAGCACCAGGATATGAAGAGAAAGTTTCAAAAAGGGAGAGGTGTTTATAGTTTTAAGAATGAAGCACGGCAATGGGAACGCGAAGCAGATAAAATCATCAATATAGACACTAAAATAAAGAAGAAATTCTTTTTGGGCTGGTGTCCTAATTGCTGGTGGCAATATCAAAGAGGTAAGGAGTTAGCAGAGAAGACTCAGTATATTGAAGAATTATTGGAAAGATGTAACTCTGATGTGGAAGCTAGTCGAGCAAATGTATCAAACATAAACCACATTTCTCTACAAGATTTTATTCATTTCAACAGTAGAGAGTCAGAATTCCAGCATCTAATGGAGGCACTGCAGAATGAGAATTGCAATATGATTGGATTGGAAGGAATGGGGGGAGTAGGCAAAACTTCAATGGCAAAAGAAGTCGGTCATAAACTAGAAGAATCTAAATTGATAGACAAAATCATCTTTCTTGTTGTCTCCAAGCCTCCAGATTTCAAAGAGATTCGCGGTAAACTTGCAGAAGGTTTGGATTTGAGTTTAGAGGAAGTGAAAGAAGAAGAACTCTCAAGTACAATATTTTCCAGAATCACAAAAATGGATAAAAAATTGCTTATAATACTAGATGATGTATGGGAAAAGTTTGATTTGGTAGAAAACTTGGGGATTCCATCTGACCACAAGGATTGTAATTTATTGATAACAACACGTAATTCACATGTTTGTAGAGAAATGGGAGGCCAAGTGATTGAACTAAATAAGTTAAACAACAAAGAGGCACTGAACCTTTTTGAAGCACATGCTAATATGAATAACTCCACCCGTGGCTTGAAAGGTATGCCAGAAAAAATTGTGAAGCATTGTGGAGGAATACCAATTGTAATTGTAGCAATAGCTAGAGCATTAAAAAATCAACCTGCACGAGTTTGGAAGGATGCTTTGAAAACCTTGGAAGATCATGTTGTTGATCCAAATTTGGAAGAGGCTTATAAATGCTTGAAGTTAAGCTACGATAACTTGAAAAATGAAAAGGCCAAAGAGCTCTTTCTTATATCTTCTTTGTTTCCAGAAGATTACCAAGTTCCTATACAATTTTTAACCAAAATTGGTATAGGGTTGGGTTGGGTTGTTTTGGGGAAAATGACAGATACCATTTAGCAAGAAGCGAAGTGCATGTAGCTATAACAGAACTCATAGATTCCTCTTTATTGTTGCGTGATGAGGATGAATATGTAATGATGCATGATTTGGTTCGTGAAATGGCTTTGTGGATAGGAAACAGAGATATTCAATCTCTCACAGATTTGAAAATGCCTATAAAAGAGAATTTGAGATATTTGCTGTTTTGGAATAATAATGATTTTCGTGATGAGTTTGATGGAAAAAAATTGGAGGTTCTAGTAATATTTTTCAATGGTTTAAGGGAGTTGTATGTCTCGCCTACATTCTTTAAAGAGATGATGAGGCTCAAAGTTTTGGTTTTGTGTAATAATTACTTCGGAAGAACTCCAGCTCTATTGTTGATGAATTCACTCCAACCACTGAAGGACATTCGAACGCTCATTCTTAAGAATTTGGATTTAGATGACATCTCTACCTTCTTAGGAAACTTGTTGAGTCTTAGGACTATTTGGTTTTATAATTGTTCAATCAATGAATTGCCCAGTGAATTTTTGAAACTAATCAAGTTGAGATCATTGGAGGTAGAAAGATGTAAAATTGAAAAGAATAATCCTTTTAAAGTGATTGAGAGATGCTCACAGTTAGAAGAATTAACTTTTGTTGCTAATTGCTGTGACAATGAAGAAAAGGATGCAATTTCTCAAAATGGATCTCCTCTTACGTTACACAGATATTGTATATCTTCTGAGGACCTTTCAGGTTATTTTGAGAAGTATGGTTTCATGTCAAGATGCGTTCGAATAGATGATCAATTAAGTCATTTAGTCTCAGAGGCAACATTTAAGCAGCTTGTCAAAAGAGCTGAACTTCTTGTCTTGGAAGGAGAGGATGCGCAAAGAATATGGGAAAATCTTTTCTTTGATATTGTTGCAATAGATGATCGAGGCATGATGAATGATTTGATTGTTCTTCATTTGAGTTCATGTCCTTATATGGAGTTCCCCATAGATACTAAAGATCATCATTCTGGTGTAGCTGGGTTCAGTAATTTGGTCGGAATACATCTCTCTAAAGTAGGTGTTGAAGATTTATGTCATGGTCCTCTACCTTCTGGTGTTTGGGAACAATTAGAGATTATGAAGTTGGAGGAGTGTCATAGACTGAAGAGCATATTATCTAATGGCAACTACAACTTATGTCATCTTAAGTCCATGGAATTGGGAGATTGTCCAATGTTGGCGTCAGTTTTCCAACCATCCACTGCGCAAAGCCTGATAAAGTTGGAAAAATTAACAATTAGTAACTGTAGTGCATTGGAATGCATTATAGTGAGTGAAGATAGTGACGGTAACCAAAAGAGTTACCACGACTCATTGTTCCCAAAATTGAAAAAACTTCAAATTTCTTGGTGCAGCAAATTAAGAATAATATTGCCAATCCTATTCGCTGGAGGTCTTGCATCTTTGGACATGTTGAGTATATATGAGTGCGAGCAGCTGGAATACATATTTGATAAGTTCCAAGAGGCAGAAGAAGCCATGCTCCCCTCCCTGAAAGAGTTACAACTTTTTGAAGTACCAAGTTTCATTGGAATGTGCAAAGAATATCACCCACTCATGAGCCCACCGATGCAGAAGCCATCACCTCCACTTTCAACACATAATTCCAACAACATAAATCAAAGTGCTGCCAGACGTGCTTTCTCTTGGGTTCAAGCATGTTGTTCTCTCAATAAATCGAGGCCCGCCAATGAAGATACCAAAATTACTGTTTCTGAACAAAGACCGCATGACCACACAACCCCACTGGTATGCTACATTTGCCTCACTATTTTTGCAACTGTCTCTCTCAAATAAATGGTTTACAATTAAATGAAATAAGGCTTGAGTGTTAAAATTAAATATCTATTGTGATCCTTGTTAGGACATATCATTCAAATGTAGTTTGAAGTACTAACCTTTTAGGGGTGGTATTAACATTTGTGACCAAAAATGACTTCCAACAAAATGACAATTGCTTTCAGGAAAACGTTATTTGGCTCCGTATTTATTTGAAATAAAAATAAAGCTTTTAGTTCTCAAAGTTTCAATTAATTTGTTGATGTTTTAATTACCATTAATTTGATCTTAACGATTTCAAAATGTTAAATGAAATATCTTTCAAGATTCGAGTACCAAATATATGAGGATAATTTAACTATCTATTTAATGAAACTCTATGGACCAAATTAATATTAGTTAAGACATATAGATCAAATTGCAAATACTTTTTTTTTGGATACATCAAATTGCAAATTCTTTACTGATTATTGGAATAAGAATGATTTATTGCAAATATTTTTACAGATTCCAATGTTTTTTGGACAGATGAATTTAAATACCACACGGACGATAAACATTTTAAATTAAAAGGTTTTATTGTATTGGGGTCATTTTACTAAAAATTTTATTAACACGGTATAAAATATATTGAATGCGGTCTCAGAATTGATAAAGCATTCCTCTAGTTTTGCATAAAAATATATTTGAAAAAAAAAATAAAAGGATGTTATTATTTTGATTCATAGTTACGCTTTGATATTATTCGTTGTATATTACCGTATAAAAATTATTGCATCTTTAAATTTTATTGATTGTTTGCTTTTAGAATAAGAATGACTTGTTTGAGCGATTGATGGTTAGTTTAAGATATTTTTATTAATGTATATTTAAATTTTATGTATTGTTTGTTTGGGAATAAGATTGACTTATTTTTTTGGTGATAAATATAGCTTTCTAAGGATTTGTGTTTATAGGAATTAGATCGACCATCCACATGTGGAGTTTTTCCTTCCCACGTAGCTCAAATCCTTTTGCGGCAATCATTGAAGAATGTGAGGGAAATAACACTATGGGAATGTGGAAACTTAATATCACTGTCAACTCTCTCCACTGCAGCCTCAACAATTTCGTTGCAAAATTTGACAATCAATAAATGTCATAAACTGAAGTGCATCACAACACATAAGGGAGATGCTCAAGTTGATAATAACAATAATTATTGTTCAATTTTTCCAACACTGGAGAGACTGGAAATCCAAAATTGCGAGGAGTTGGAATTTGTATTTCAATCGTCAATATCTGGTGGTCTTCACAAATTGAAGTCTTTGACTATCGAGAGAGGGCCTCAGCTAAAATATGTTGTTGAGAACCAATATGCATCCAATCAGAATCAAAATGATGAGCTGCATTTTGATCTTCCTGCTTTGGAGATCCTCTCCATCGATGATGCACCAAATTTGAACAGCATTTGTCCCCAGAATTATAAATTGGCACTGTCATCTCTTAAGAAGGTTCACATTGCGAAGTGTGGCATTAAATCTTTCACTGATTATGACATGGTGGATTCGACGACTACAGAGGTACATTCTTTTTAACTTTGAACATACGGTTTGTTATGTTTTCATCATGTTAACTAGAAGTGCCGTATTTGATTAAAATGAAATTATTTATGACGGTCTTTATATGCTAAGCTCCTTTTGGTTTTTTGCCGTCAAGTAACTTGTTAAGCTTTTAGATTAACTGCTTGTCGAGACAGTTATTAAAGTGGGCCAAAATAATCCGAGTGGTTAGATTAGTTTTTTCTTGACAATAAAGATTGAACAGACCACTGTGAGACGTCTTGTAAATTTATTTTTGAAATAAACTCAACTTTCAAAATACTCATCTTTTTGTTGGATTGATGTGTAGTGATATTTTTATGATGAAGACGCGTGATTATGATGGTTTACAGTACAATTTTTAAAATGAAAAATCAAACTAAATTTTATTTCAAATTAATCTAGTTAATATATTACTCTTTCAATCGTTTTACTAAGAGTTACTTAACTAATTTAAGTAAATTCAAGAAGTTAAATAAATAATATAATTCCAATAAATATGACCTGGCCTTCATAAATATTCTTGTATAAAATTAGATACGCATGAATGTATAAGTTAGATAAATTAAGTTGGGAAAAATGATTAATATGAGGAAAAAGTAAATTAAAGTTTTACACTCAGGACGAAAATCAAAGGCCTCTTATATATTATTGCACAGATTTTATTTATTTATTGGCCTGCAGCAATTACATCCGTCCATCCATCCATAAACAGCGCTCTCTTATTTCTTGCCGCCCAAAGCCTTTTGATTGAGTCGTTGAAAAATATTATAAAAATGAAACGTTTGTATTGTCCATGATAGTTTAACATTAGTGTCAACTCTATGCGCTGCATCAACTATTTTGTTGGAAGATTTGTCAATCAGGAGATGTCATCAACTCACTGAAATATGCATGGATCAAATTAATATTATATAAAGCACCAAATTCTAAATGTTTTACAAATTCCAATGTTTTTTCTTATGTTGGACAATTGAATTTGAATACTACAAAAGGCAATAAATTAAACATTTTAAATTGAAACGTGTTATTGTATTCTAGTCATCTTACTTAAATTTTTAATAACAAAGTTTTAAATGGAATGGGGTAATAGAACTCATAAAGGGTTCCATTAGTTTATCTCAAAAGTATTTTGAAATAGAAATGAAAAAAAACATAACTATTTTGATTTATTGTTATGCCTTGATATTATTTAATTTGCTCTACATTACTGCATACAAAAATTTTAGTTATAGTTTGTTTACGTGTAAGAATGATATATTTTACTGATTGTTGTTATATTAAATATACTTCGAAATATGATGTATTATTGTATATTCAAATTTTACATATTGTTTGTTTTGGAATAAGATTGATTTATTTTCTTGGCGATAACTTCCTAAAGATTTGTGTTTATAGGAATTAGATGCATCCACAGAAGGAGTTCCTCCTTTCCTTGTGGCTCAAAGCCTTTTGGTGCAATCATTGAAGAATTTAAGGGAAATACAACTTAAGAAATGTGGAAACTTAATATCGCTGTCAACTCTCTCCACTGCAGCCTCAACAATTTCGTTGGAAAGTTTGACAATCAATGAATGTCACAAACTGAAGTGCATCACAACACATGAGGGGGATGCTC